GATTGACATTCGTTATGGAACAAAATGTTGGGATTTTTACAAACCTCCACTGTATCTGACCACGTTCCGAAGGCCTCACACCAATCAATACTAGCTTAGCTAGTTCTTTTTGAGAACCAACGACTGCAACTAGGTCTATGAAAGCTTTCAAACAACCAGAAAATGTAGGTGCATAGAAAATGTGTCCCAAAGTCCCGACTAACTTCAACATATAATAAAAGTAGGTATATACTACTTTAATTAACTGACAAGTAATAACAGGTTCCATGGTTATCAATACATTATACACAAGTCTTATTAACTCCTCAATCTGGCTGATCCACTTATCTTCAGCGATGCAATCGGCTGCGGGACTGACAAGTGACAACTATTACATAATAACCCTTCGTCTGCTGCGTGCAGTACATGTGTGGGAGAGCCATGCTTCGACACGAATGGGTTGGCTCGACCGGAGTGATACCACGGCCTGTCAAAACACTGCCGTGAAACAACTATAGCGTTGTGTCTCGACGTGTTAGTGAGGTTACCGGTGGCCCATCCTTACTCTCCCCCAATCCCAAACGGCAACACACTTCTAACTTCTTCGTTGTTGCAAGTGTCCAAGTGGGCGGCGCTGATTGCTTACCATCAGCTTATCCGTCTACTCGTTTACTGACCTATCACATAAAAAAGCTATTCAAAGTCACGTAAAAGCAGTAATCCGGTTGGACGACAAACCTATCCTGTTAACGTAATCAAATGTTGGCGTATTTTAATGGACTCGTTGAACAAACGTCGCGTAGGAGTCTATCAGAATTGCTGAACGAATAATTACGAGCTGTTTCACTAGAAACATTTGAGAATTAAGCTATCGGAAATCTTTTAAGTCTCAGAAGTGGAAATTACTTGGCGATTCTAGCATTTAGGTACATTTAATTGGTACTAAAGTTATTTGCGTTATAGTTTTCTTGGAACAGAAAAATTATCTGCTATGATAATGCTCAAACAAAGTTAGTTAGTAAGTTGAATCTATCCCTTTATGGAATAGGAGGCAAACGAGCTTCGAATCACCTCATGGTAAGTGATAGGGGCGCCCATTGACACCTGCAACACCGTAGGAGCCACAAACGCCTTTTAAGGAGTACCTCGTTTCATGAAGGTTTGAAGTATTATTTAGTATCATTGACAAAACAGACATAATTCGAACCCTTTTCAAAAGCTTCAACAAGACAAACTACTAGTACAGATTATTTTTTGCCTATAAAATTGTAGTACCTACACACTAAGCAATCTCAGTACGACTCCAAGTAAACCAAATCCATTTTACACACTAATCGAGGTTAAATCCAAGAAAGTCACATATGACGTGTGACGTGAACAGTGTCGGTCAGTCCGTTACGACTGCAAAGCCTATTTGTGGGCCGACCGCGGCAAACGGGTTAGCCTCAATGCAACGTCTTGTTGACCGGCCGAGAATGACCTAAATCTTAGTTACTCGTATCAACTCAATAAAAATCAAAGTTTTATGTTGGTAATATGTAAGTATTGTAACATGTGTGGGAGAGCCATGGTTCGGCACGAACGGGTCGACCGGAGTGATACCACGGACTTGCAGAAAACCGACGTGAAACAACCACAGCGTTGTGTTTCGCCACGTGAATGAGGTTACTGGAGGCTCAATCCTTCTCCTCTCCCAAAATCTCAAATCCCTAATTCTTAAAAGGTCAACAACGCACTCGTAACTCCTCCATTGTTGCGGGTATCCATGGGTGGCGCTGGTTGCTTACCATCAAGTGATCCTTCAGCTCGTTTGCCGTCCCATCATATAGAATAAAAAACATGCTCAACCACTACTCTTTTAAATCAGTGTTTTTTTCTTACGGAGGCAGTTTTACACGTACATTTATGAAGTCTAACAATCGGTTTTCTTTCGTCATTTGTTTTTAGCATTAAGAAAATAAATGGCACAAAGTATGCGTCTGCCTGGGTCCACACCCGCGATATACGTCTTCAAAGACGAGGCCAGTCATAAATATTGCGCCATAGCTTTTGCTAAAGAAATGCGAACTTATTTCCTCATGTCTCAAGGTGGTGTTTAGATTGCTATGGATTTACTAGCCACAACTTCTCGTTAACAAGCCGATAGCAATCTAAATTGTGTCAACCCACAGTAGTGGTGCTTTATATTGTATAGATTAGTTGCATCCTTCCATTCTCCCAACGAACAGGTGCAATATTTGTATAAATATTATGTTAGTATAAATAGATTCTTAAACATTTTCTTACTAACTATAAAAATTGTGTATTGTGAAGTCATACCGAAGTTATGTATTCTCAATTCAAATATCCCACAGTCAATGTAGACCAAGTCGCTTCACTAGTGTCTGTTGCTATGCTATTATGATAATAATACCTTACACAAAAATCAATCTTTTCTAAAAAAATATAACATTAACATTTATTTTTTACTTATATTAATACGGATTTCATTCAATTACATTAAACAACAAAAATCAAGAAAAAATAACATAAAATGAAATTCAAAATCAATTTGCGACTCAAATGTACAATCGACAAAATCTTTTTTTGACCAGATGATATTTCAGAGAGCATGCGCGACAACATTCAGTGACGGACATCGGATTACCGATATCTCATCGAAAGGGATTTAGATCGCGATCACTTTGACAATAATCAGAGTGGGCATATAACTAAAATGGATTTAGTTGAGGATTATAGGGGACCCGTAGACAATATTGAGTATTTTGTGACGTCATACACATTTTATATTTATTTTGTTATTAGAGTAGATAAAGGATACATTTGAAGGTAATATTATTTTGCAATATTGTATTACCATGTAGTTTTAATTTTTATATGCAAAAAAGAAAACGCTTGAGTAGTTTCTTCTCTACCCTATCGAAACTATTAAAAGTTAGTTAAGCAGAAAAAATATTTCATAACTAATGATAGTGAAAATAAACTAAAATATAGGTCAGATATAGAACTAAAATATCCAACTAATTTATCGATAGAAGTGAATGAGCACGCCCTATTTGTGAAGAGGTAGCCTACAAAATGATTTCCCCATAATGCTTATTTCGAATGGTGTTTAAGATGATAACAAATGAGTGTCGTATCGTTCTTGTTTATTTATAATCCCGTCGCGACGCCGCTACAGACTTGGCATTATTCCAACTCCATTTTTTTAGGAATTTATTTCAATTCATGCGTTCTGGCTTTTGTGTTCGTGTGGCTTTCAAATGATTGCCAATAAATGATGAGAATGGTAATTTGTTTGTACGAATATTTGCCTTTATCGAGTTTAACTCGGTATTTCGAAGGCAAATTTAAATTGATTTAAAGGTCTAAAATTAGTTAAGATTGATTTTTTGTTTAATTTTGTTTGTAAATTTTATTTAACATCAGAGATATTATTTTCTTCTTTGTTGTTAAGTACAATTTCATGATTCTCCAATAAACTAGGGGTTTTACATTAGTATTAATAGCATAGTTAAATACTTATGCAGAAGGATTTCATAAAGATACTATATAACAGAATGGCACGGGATGCCGTTTCAAAAATTTAACGATCAAATCTTTCCATCTTTTAAAGCACAATTGCACTATTCGAGCGAAACACACTAATTTCAATCTCATAGCCGGTCGCTGGAGATTTGACACTCCAGACAGACGTAATAGCTTCACTTAGTCCAGAAGCTAACCACGACAATTCACTAGGAGCAATTAAACGTGAATGTGAGGCGAACAATTGTGAAGGATCGAAAGCAATCGATCATCTAGAGTTGGACAGGTCATCAGTTGAGTACGACCTCGGCGTCCGAATTGTAATCGAAGCGCGCCAGTTTGATAGGCACATGTGACAATCGCTAATGGCTGATAAACTCGAGAAATTCGCTGCGTTATAACTACCGGGTTATTTGAGGAATGGTAAATTCGAAAGTTACGGTGTTCGGGTGTTTGTTACTCAATCACGCCAAAACAGCTGGACAGGTCTGGATGAAAATTAGCAAAGGCATCACACTCCGGGATAGGACATAGGCTACTTTTTATCGATATACCATGCGGGCGAAGCTACGGGTGAAAGCTAGTAAATAATAAGGCTACTTAAAAATTGTCAAGGTGATGTCATCAACCAGGAAAAAATAAGTAAATAACAAGAAATGTCATAATAATTTTACGATTGGCCGTTAAGATTATAATTAAGAGTAATTTCCATCATTATTTTACAAACGTCAATAAAAAAAATACCAAGAATTCCCATTTATCCCCTTGATAAAAATGAGATCAGAAATAAATATCAACTCTTTTTCAATAAATTCATCCTAGCATCACAAGGGTATCTTTTACCAAATAATGGTATCAAATACTTGGATAACATATACAAAAGGTATAATACCTGAAGCCGATTGAACCGCCTCAAATAAGATCTACAAACGAATCGTGTAAAACCGTCTGATTTCGGATACCTTTCGATCTTTTTACGGCTGTCTAAACTATGTATTTACATGGCAAATATCGTACCGCAAATATCGTACCATATATAAAAGAGGAAGCAATATCTCTTAAATCATATGCCTACTTACAAACCTATTTGATAATACAGATTCTATATATTATTATACAAATGTCTATTGGCATCCTATTGATATTATATTGTATATTCGCGAAATTTTATAAGTATGAAAAAAAATGCATTAATTAAATGTTTTTGACTCTTTCACATCAAATTTGATTTATTTAATTGTTAAGTAATCGAAGTAGCTTATTGTAAATTAAAAAAAACAAGCGTAAAATCATGAAACGTTATTTATTATATATTTTTTCCTGGTTGATGACATCATCTTGACAATTTTTAAATAACGACCTACTCACTTGAATTGACTAAGAAAAGCTGTCGTGTCTTGAAACTAGTATTATTTATTTATTTGATAGAAGTAAAAAACCTTATCGTACCACTAGAAACTGGTCAAAAAGTAGGTGCAAATATTGGTACATACCAGTTCCTCAGGTGATCCCGGTTCCTTCATACCATTGCTCTTATCCGTGCTCCCCGTCTCTGTAACAAATGAAAAAACAATATTAATAAAATTTATTTGATTTACATTCATAATTATCACGGAGAGGAATCTTCAGCCAGAAATAAAACAACTTGGAAATTGAGATCCTTGACGTCAATCACACTGAGGTTCTTTATTAAAGTTAATGACCCTTATTTTTCTGAGTTTTTCCTACTTACGTAAGGCAATTTAAATACGAAAATAAAATTCTTATTTGTACGCTTACTGACTAAAACCCTCTCTTTCTTTCTCCTGCTCAAGGCCGAAGCCGCAGTACCTTAATGCGCTGGTCCGGCAACCCCGCCTTGGCTGACCATCGACCCTTTTGGGGCCCATCTGTGGTGGTCGGCTCTTCGAGCCAGAACTATGTATAAGTATTGACCTATCAATAACAAACTATGATTATGTAAATACACAACCCTAAAATCCACCCACAAACCATTCAGGCGCTATAAAACAAATTAGTCAAATTAGAACAACGAATCTAAATCACAAATTGGATTTTGGTATTCGGCTATAATGAATTGGGGCGTTAATAAATCGCAATATAACATTAATTAGCCGAAACCGAGTTTCGATCAACCACAAATTTACAACTATGAAGATACAAATAATAATTTATTGATTCAAGCCTATAAATAAAACGAAGTAAATAGTATGACCATGAGTATGACCTTCACGCTAGGCGTGTTCTGGATTGGAGACCATGTCTAGGCAAAGACCTAAACTTCTGTCCTCTTGCTAGGTGTACTTAGGTGTGGAGTGGCTGGCAGTGGTTGGATGAGAAGAGCTGGACATCGAGCTCAGTGGCTATCACGTTAGTTAGTGAAATCTATGCCCAGCAGAGATGGAAACAGGCTGATAATTATGATATTGATAGAGTAGTATAATTTCATGTAACCATTGCTTATGTGTCCTACATAAGTAAGTTAAATAAATAACAGCATTAAAAATGTTTTTACCGATTTCAATATGCCTATCATCCTGTTCTGAGTTTGGTTTAAATGTGGGAGAGTCATACTTTGGCACATATCTGCCGGCCCGACTAGAGAGATACCTTTCAGGAAATTAGCGTGAAACAACCACCATACTGTATTTTGCCATGTGAGTGAGGTAACTGGAGAATCAATCCTTCGAGGAGACGGGTCTCCCTCCAAACCAAATTCTTATTTCTCCAATTCAAATCCCCAACAACTGCCAAAAGAGCGGAGCCGAGGAGAAACTCCTCAAAAACAAATTATTTGTGTTTTTCACTTAAGACTAGTACTAAGATCAGTCGATGCGAAACTTAGAAACTGTTGCTGGAAAGCATTATATTAATACCCGAGTTCACTACATACAGTGAAGGAAAACATCGTTTTAAAAAAATGTAAAACACACTTGCAATATTAGGTAACATTTTAGATTTTAATATGAATTAGGAGCAAGACGACGATGGCAAAGATATTAGCGTCCTTTAGATATTTTCCAGGATTTTTTTGAGGTAATTTGATTTCCGAAGTATTACTTATTATTTTACAACTTCAGTCTACTATAAATATTTCGTCACCAAATGAATAGTAAATGACCACAATGTTCAGTGGTAAAATATTCAATTTGAATATACTTATCGAAAATTAATACGATCAAGTGTTTCATTAATATTTACAAAGAACATTAAAAATGCATGTTGTACGGCAACAGTTAATGCGTTTTACTCAAGCGTTCGATGAAATAAAAGCATTCATTTTTAATGTCACGTCTGTTATTTTTTTAAAGATGATGATCAACAGATGTGCAGCGATATATTAATTCTGTAAAGCTGCTTCAGTAAATAAAAGTACATTTTTCGTCTGTTTTTGCTTTAATAATACATGCTAACAGACTACTATTTTATTTTGACGTTTCACAAGTACCTATTTATGGTTTAGTTGGAATAAATGATTTTGACTTGATTTGATTTGATTTGCTGGAAATAAATAAAAAACAGAAAATTTAAGTTTAAAAATCGAACTCGTTGAAATTTAAAACGAGATCGTCGAATTTTCGAATAGAAAATCATCGCAACGCAAAGAAAGCCGCTCCTCTAGTAAAACATTCGGTATAAAGACGCAGAAAGTGCTTGCTTAGATTTAATTAATGTCAAAGAACTGTGAGGCCCCTTTGGAGCATGTTTGCCACAGTCAGGCATACCCCATTGACACACTTGTTATCACACTAACACAACGTATGGTACGAGCACACTCGTTTTTCTTTCACATTTTCCACGTTCAAAAGGAATATTTTGCACCAATTAAAATATATTAACGCGACGTGCGTTGCACACTACGTACTGTGAGTCAGAAAAGCTGACAGAAGCGGAAATCACGAACGTGGAAACTGTTGACGCGAACGTTCGCGTACAGCATTTAATTGAAATGTCAAAAATCGTACATTAATTAATTCACGAGTGGCTACAATAAGGCAGCGAGCGAGCAAATTAGTGTAATACAATTTGTTGGGACAATAAGTGCCGGGGTGAGGTCGGGCGGCTCATGATAAACTATGACCGTAATAAGCTCGTGCCAACCAGAATTAATAATTAACTACACGAAATTATCGCTTTAGGTGTATCTATTCAGCGGGATTTATACAGCCCAGTACAGTATAAACATTTACGATTTTAATGATGAGTACATTACTGACTCGTAATAGTATTTCAAACCAGTATATCGTAACAATTTTCCATCACACGCTTACGTAAAATCTGTCTTAAGGTATGAGTGACAACGTGAAAATGGAAGGATAGATTTTGAACTTTAATCGAAAATTCGCATATACCTAATTGAAGATGTAAAAATAAGGTCATAGTGAATTTATGTGTCTTGTGTGATAAAAACAGGTCATATATCGTGTTGATAAATGATAATAAAGACGTACCTATAACAAATTATTACTCCACCTGTACCATCGTAGAGTTTATAGCTTGTGTCAGATATACGATAGTTTTTATGTTGCTCTACATAAAATATACTGTCAAATAGTTCAAAGGTTTTCCATAATAAAAGAGCAATAAAAATCTCGTGAAAGCGCGTTTCTAGAAACGTGCCGAGAAATAGAACATTTTTAAAATTTATCGCAACGACTTTTGAGTAAATATAACATAACACATAGGTAACAATTATTATAACATTCGACAATTATATAATATAGATATACGACGACATAAATATAATATAGATGACATGGATACACGCAGAATACAAAGACTTTTAGGCTTTAAGATCTTACTAAGTAAATTGATTATTTTGCACAAAAAATATTATGAATTGTAACTCACCACCATTTCAGATTTCTTGCTGTTTTATAAGGTACAATCAAATTCAGACTCAAATTCTTATACTTATTTATTTATCTTATTTATTCTACTTATCTACGGTCTTAGTGCTCTAGATCCAGTACAAGAGCAATTAGCGTTTTATTCATTAGAAAAGAAAATACACGGACTATGCCTGGAGCAGGAAAATGAGCGGAGTGATTTTTCGTCAGTAAGAGTCTGACAATCCCTCTCGCCCCACGGGACTGGATGGGGATGGAGAAACAGGATGTTTTCCCTCTTAAAAAAGGGGGTGACGAGATAGACACAGCAGTTTTACATCAGACGCATATTAAACCACAATTTATTATAATTTCCAATAACACTTTTAATGTTTTTTAGTAAACATGGTGGCAATTAAATATCGTTTTAGAAAATGTGATACCTTTCTTAATTTTCCCGCCAGCTTACCGCCCGCTGCAGATACGAATTTACTCATAAATTCATAACGTTATCATGAAAAAATTTATATTTCTGATTACCTACGTAAACATTTTTAAGATTCACTTCGTGGTGACGACCATTTTGTGTGATATGAGTGTTTTTGAGGGTGGAAATGTGTTGTGTTTTTTATGTCGGCAAACGAGCAGACGGATTATCTGATGGTAAGCAATCAGCGCCGCCCATGGACACTCGCAACGGAGGAGATACGAGTGCGTTGCCGACCTTTCAGGGATTAAGGTTTTGGAGATTTAGGGATTGGAAGGGAACGGGGAGGGGAAGGATTGGGCCTCCGGTAACCTCACTTACACGGCGAAACACAACGCTGTGGCTGTTTTACACCGGTTTTCTGTGAGGCCGTGGTATTACTCCGGTCGAGCCGACCCACTCGTGCCGAAGCTGGGCTCTTCCACACGATTTGATGTTATTACATCAAATAATACCACATAACGAAAATATATATTTTTTTCTTTTTAGTTTGAGTAATGACTGAATGAAATTTGGCATAAAGATAGATATGTCCCATTCTGACTTAAACCTAGTTGAGGTTTTCTCAATTAATGCATGAGAGTCACTCATTATTTTCAATAAATTAAACTTGAATATAGTAAATTAATTTCGTGCAAATTAAAGTTAATGTCACCAACAAGCAGATGTTATGTAATTTGTTCCGATTCATCGCCCCTGAAGCGACATTGATTGCGTCATACACAGACTCAATCAGCCCTTTTCATCAGTCCCACTAACAAATTATATCAGGATTTACATTGAGTACCACTTTTTAGGGTTTCGTAGTCGAAGAATAAAAATGCGATCCCTATCCATACCAATATTCTAAAACTTTAGAGTTTAGTTATTTGTTTGAACGCGCTTATCTCCGAAACTGCTATTTCGAATTGAACAATTATTTTTTTGTTCGTTAGTTCACTTATTAAGGAAGACTATAAAGGGTATGAAATATTGCGCAAAGATCTTTTCTTAGAGTGAAACCACTCGAAAGTAGCTAATTATTACTATACAGATCTTATCCATTTTGTCTGCCTGTCACCAGGCTATATATCACGAACTCTGATAGTTAGACAGTTGAAATATGTACAGATGAGCTATTTCTGTTTCCAGCGAGTAAAAAACGAAATACAATTAATTATGTTCCCGCGGATTTTTTAATAATAAACTGAAAACTAAATTATCTCTGATAAATCCTGTAAATTAGCAAGGCTCCAT